ACATTACTGCTATTCCCCAGTTCATTCCTTCTCCTCCAAAGTAAATTATTCTCCCTTCTTCAAAGTTGCTTACTCCTGTCCTCTGTATATTCCATATCCTAAGCTCCTTCAGTTCTCCTTTTCCATTTTTATGAATTAGATTCTCTACCTTCGCTGTCCTGTTTATTGTTGATATAAGACACAATCCTTTCCTTTGATTAACAAGCTTGCATTTATGCCAATTTCACTGGATGGACCTTGAGGCTTCACCTCCTCCCTTTCTGAGTGTGATGTTATCTGTCCTTTGACAGGTATTCCATTTACAATATTGGCATTTATTTGTGCTCTTGCCATCTTGAGCTGCTTTCTTAGCTGTAATCAGTGGTGGTTTGCTATTACATTACACTTAGGAAGCGTAATATCTGCAGACGGAAGATGCAACACAAAAAAAATCAATAACAGCAATGGGAAAAACCGCATTTGTAAGAAGAGGCAATTACTAACCTGAAAGCCAACTTATAAAGTGTTTGAATTGGGGTGTTAATTTTTTATGGATGCAAGACATTTGCTAAATAGCTTTGAAATGAGCATTTGGAGAATGTAAAGGATCTGCTGGACAGGAAAGTAAATGAAGTACTATGAAGAATGAATTAACAAAGGAATTTGTTGAATGGATTAGGAAAAGGTAGAGAAATTGAGTAGAACAGAGAGGAATCTAACTTTTAAGGGTTGTTACCGAGGAAAAATTTCATGAAAAAGGAAGGAAAGGAGAAAAGAGAATCTCTAAGAGACCTGAAAATACAAGGAACGTATTGGCCAATTAAAAGATTGGCACAGGATGGAGACATATGTAAGGACTACTTACGAACCAAGAAACTGTCTTTGGAACAGCACATACAAAGATGATTACAAACAGCATTGGTTTCATCTGAGGGACAACGGGATGTTGAAATGTTCAGTTGCAGACCTGCCAATGTACTTCATCCTGATTTTGGGTGGACACTACTTTTCCTGTGCCGTGAAATGCTCGTTTGGACTTACCCGCTGACTTTGTTATTGGTTGAATTAATCAAGTTGACAGCTCCCCTTTCCACACAATGCTGATAGCATTTATAATGCAGTGAAAGCTGCCATTTTTGGCAATGTGTTATACATTTTTAAGAGACTACTTATAAACAATAGTTAAATTTAAAAAAAAAAGAAATGAACGCAATAACGTTTACTTCTCCTCCAGCTATTTTAACACTTCACAGAAAGGTTTCAAATATTTGAATGTCTCTAAATGAGTATTGAGACCACACACTCAATAGCAATATGCTGCTTAATCATTACTTACATATGAAAAGGCATTTAGCCTACATAACAGTAAGGAAACATTATAATTGGTGAAACCCTTCAGTCATTCACAAGACATGATTGAAGTTTTTTCTAAAAAAAAACAATATCTTCTTGTGAGTTAAGCGTCGTTGGTATGGGCAGTGTTTTTAAAATCTATTCCAAATGGCCTTTGGCAAGATGATTGTGAGTGGCTTCTTGTTCATCAAAGTGCTGGATGTATGGGCTTGGATATTGCTATCAAAAGGATCTAAATGGGTTGCTGCATTTGCTCGTGTTGGATTTGACCAATGCCTAGCACTTGTATGATGAATGTCACTTGTCACTCATCAGCCTGAGACTAAATACTGCCTAGGTCTTGCTGCCTATTGGCAAATACTGCTTTAGTACAGATGCACAAAATTTCAAGCATCATTAGGAGTTATAATGGTCAATGACATAACTGATGTTTCAGAACGAGATTGTGTTTTAATGTACCTTCATCATCCATCTGTATCAATTTTGTGAAATGTGATTCACTTTAAAGTTGAACACTCAAATTACTCCAGAAATATGTATTGTTTATCAAGATTATCTTTACTCTACTTCACATGAGCTTTAAAACATAATTTATACATGTAAATGATCCCTTGGATATTTTCATTCCTGGTATGTTCTAGCTTGTGTCACCTGTCCCATTCTTCAAATTTATTCTGTGAATTCTTATCATGTACTTATTTTGTTTACAGTAATCAATCTGTTCTTTGTATTTGCCACTGTATTTGTTGGGCTCATGAAATTCCTTTAAGTTTTAACAGTAAACCATGGCCATTCCTCCTTATTAGAATTGTCAGTGTCCTTTGGTGAGGAGTTTAGTGGTGGCAGAGGTATTGGGTAAAAAGACAGGAAAGGAAGATACACCTTCCACATGGAAAAAATATATCTGGGTGAGATCTTGCTAACCAAAGTCCCTCAAGACAGTTTGACCATTCAACGAAATCATGTCTCATCCATATCCAAACTCCATCCATTCAATTTGGCTCCTTATCCCTTAATGCTCAATCTGAGATGTGAAGGTGCTGGTGGTGGCCTACAGCGGTCAAAGTCAGAAGTCACACTACACCAGGTTATAGTCAAACAGGTTTATTTGAAAGCACAAGCTTTCAAAACGCAGTCCCTTCCTCAGGTGAAGTGAGACAGAAGCACACATACACAGAATTTATAGGCCGAGAAATCAAAAGATCATACAACTGGTATAAATGGAGTGTCGAATAATAAGTCTCTGCAGGTGATCAAAAGTGTCAGACAGTATAGATAAAGTGTCAACAGCTGAATAACAAATCAAAGAGATGACCTATAATCTGATTAATTGAGGCAAAGAGATAATTGCAAAAAATTTTTTAAAAAAGGTGGTGCTGGAGACAAACCAAATGACTGGAATAACATGGTACATATGAGAATCGCATTACTTTGGTTAGACCCTCGGCATAAGTAATCCAAAACTGTACAAGCTAATTAAGGTAGAAATATCATAAACTTATCAAGGTGATGGTGTCAAAACAGGACAGTGAGGCAGATTTTACAGATACACAAATGTGGTAGGGTCACATAGCGAAACATGAACTCAAAATCATGGTTGAGGCCGCCTTCATGGGTACAGAACTTGCCTATCAGTTTCTGCTCGGTCATTCTGCGTCATCGTTTATCTTGAAGACCACCTTGGAGGACGTTTACCCGAAGATCGGAGGCTGAATGCCCTTGCCCGCTGAAGTGTTCCCCAACTGGGAGGGAACATTGTTGCACTGTGTCCATTCATCCGTTGTCATAGTGTCTGCATGGCCTTGCCAATATACCATGCCTCAGGGCATCCTTGCCTGCAGCACATGAGACAGACATCATCACAGCTGCCGTGCACGTAGTAGGTGGTGTTCCCACGTGTGATGGTAGCATCCATGTCGATGATCTAACATGTCTTGCAGAGGTTGCCATGGCAGAATTGGGGGGGGGTGTTGTGATCAAAGTTGTCCTGATGGCTGGGTAGTTTGCTGCAAACAATGATCTGTCTAAAGTTTGGCAGTTGTTTGAAGGCAAGAAGTGGAGGCATATGGATGATCTTGGCAGGATGACCTTGGCAAGATGCTCATTGTCATCAACGAAACGTTGAAGGCTGCAAAGAACATGGCGTGGTCTCTCCACTCTGGGGAAGCACTGGACGATGAAGGGTACTCTACCGGTTGTATCCTGTGTCTGTCTTCTGAGATTGTTGCGGTTTTTCACTGTGGTGTGTTACCTTAATTAGTTGGTACAGTTTTGGATTACTTATTACTTTGGTTAGACTGTCTTATATCTATCGTGCTATTCCAGTCATTTGATTTGTCTCTAGCACCACCTTATTTTTAATTGTTTGTTATTATCTCTCTGCCTCATTTAATCAGATTCAGGTCATTCCTTCGCTTGTTATGCAGCTGTTGACAGCTTACGCATGCCCTCTGACACTTCTGCTCACGTGCAGAGACTTATTATTTGACACTCCGTTCTTTGATCACTCCGCCCATAAATTCTGTGTCTGTGTACTTCTCTCTCTCACTTCACCTGATGAAGGGGCTACGCTCCAAAAGCTTGTGATTTCAAATAAATCTGTTGGACTATAACCTGGTGTCATGTGACTTCTGACTTTACTCAATCCAAGAATTAGGTTACACAAAACAAATCAAAGCTTTAAGTATAAATTGTAAAGTTATGGAATCCCTACAACGTTGGAACAGGCCATTCGGCCCAACAAGTCCACACCTACTCTCTGAAGAGCATCCTACTCAGACTCACCCCCCTATCCTATCCTTTGTAACCTTGCATTTTTTTACCATGGTTAATCCACCTAACCTCCACATCCCTGGACACCACGGGCAATTTAGCATGGCCAATCCACTTAACCTGCACATCTTTGGACCGTGGGAGGAAACCGGAGCAAACCCATGCAGACACGGGGAGAATACGTATACTCCCCACACACAGTTGCCCGAGGCTGGAATTGAACCCAGGTCCCTGGTGCTGAGAGGGAGCAGTGCTAACCACTGAGCCACCGTACCGCCCCAGTCATAGTGGGTCATTTGCTTAATGCAACTTTTGGAGAACTTATCACCTCTTAAATTAATTGTCTAAAACCAGAAAGGTATTTTAGATGAACAGATTAGTTGTTTTATGCATTCTTGTGCCATAAATTTTAAAGTCTAAGGATTTATTTTGGGCTCAGTAACAACCTTAAGTTAACTGATGACATAATATAGATACAATGTATGGATTGGTGTATGTTAGTGAGGACAGGGTTCAACCAAGCAGTAACATTCTTTTCTTTCCTGCTCAGGTATCAAGCAATACTCAATATTATGGCTCACATTAGAAAATGGCTATTTTTCTCAGTCAACTTCAGAATAAGAAATGAAACCTTGAGGGTTAGAAAACGTCAAAAATGAACAATGCATCCCTTGCAGTGAATGTTACGGTGGATGACAATAAAAACGTTAATTTCAGTCAAATGAAGTCATTTGTAGACAGAGATAATAAGTTAATACTTGTCTGAAGTGATTTAATGTTGACATTACCTATAGTATCATTCTGGTCAAGTTGAGTCTTGCCAATGCAAGGCATCATTGACTAAACCCAATAGTACCCAACCTCAATACTCAACTTAAACACATGCAAACACAAGATCAGATTAGAATAGTTTATCTGGAAATACTTGCAACTTATTGTGTGATATAACAATGTCTTACAGCACAACTGAACACAAGCAATTTGTCAGTTTCCTTTTAATATTTCATACCACTTGGAGAAGCACATTATACAGCTTACGTGAATCTAAGTGATCACAGGAAACAAAAATAATTCCACTGGTAAAATGCTTTAAACAGTATGAATACTGCAAACATAAATAAATAAAATTTGCAAAAAGATTACATGGAACATGAACAGTTTTGGACGGAATGGTTGTTCATATACATTATATACATTAAAAAAATGACTTAAATCATAACTGCATCCCCAAGTCAACATGGCTATGATATGCATTACACATCAATTTACAGAACTGGCAAACTTTACAACATAATAAACTGTGTACAAGTACAACTTAGTTTTCTTTTATTACAATATTCTCAACTAAGACCTTAATAGCTTTCCAAACAGACCATTTTCTACTTAATAATAGAAACCTTTGATTGATGCTTTTGAATTGAATCAAAAGGTTCCAATGTTACACAAATCGCCCTAATGAGAAACTAAACAAAACTGAAAGTGAGCAAACTTGACCTGCAGAGCGGTTTAGAAATTCATTATGACTGATTGGTCTTCTAGTGACGTTAGTGGTGTAGTTTTTTAATCCTATGTTCCATGCCGTAAATGGAGAGAATCTTTATATGAAATGCAATACTTTACGAGCAATGGTAAAACAAAAAATAATTATAATACCCTTCTGCACAATTTGCTTAGTAAAATTTTGTGTCAACTTCCTTTTGCATCATGTAAAACAGGAACAAATATGTTCGACATAAAAAAGGTTAAAAATTCTGTAAACCTTGTAAATAAATTGTGTGCCATTCCCTTAAAAATCAACAGTGCAATGAAAAAGCATTTTACTCGATCTATTAGGGTGTTATATACAAGGACGGAAGGCTACTTTGAAGAATGGATGTTAATGCAGGCATGTGCCTTGAAATGTAGAAATTCATACAACATTAACTTCCATATTTGTCTAATTGCATATACCTACACAGAAGCATTTGGAATGCGTACCATTGTTAAGAGTCTGGCAAATATGCACTGCATTCTAGATGCCACAGACCACAGTGTAACTTTTCAAACCATACTTAAACTATATAACTCTTCAATGACCCCTGGTGAGCTGTACTTAGACAAATTCCACATTTCCCAGACGTATTTTAGGGCACCTTAAGGAAATAAAAAATGCTCTGCGACAGCCATTTGCCTTAAAATCAATCAAGGTGCATGCAAATACAAATGATCTGATCAAAATGCTATGTTTAAACAATAGTTATTTTAATATACATTCCTTCCTTTATAGTCAAGGTAAAATTATAGCTGAGCTCACAGTCAAAAAATATTACAATATTGTCATGAAGCCAGAAAAAAAAGTCTTTATAGAGGATAAACAAAATACGACAAGGGATCAGGGATTTATTATTAAACCACAAGGATAGACTTATGATTATGGCTAACAAATAATTACTGAGCAGTGAGTATAAAGGGAACCGGTTGCAGAAACAAGAATGGTTGCAAAACATTTAAAGCAAATTTGAATGTTTCTAATGTGAGAGAAGCTGGAGTATGCACAGAGACAAGCGTCAATGAATTGCATGGCCTTTTCTTATTTCTTTCATGTTCAAAGGCATTTGAAATCTGGAAACTTCAGCATGAATTTTCCGCAAGAGAAAAAAAAACTCCTTTTCTCCTTCCAGAACTGCAAACACAATGCACAATGTTTTGATTCATCTGTATTGATGACTGTGAATTGGAAAGCTCAAGCAAATAGTTCTGTCATTCCCAAAAGTACTGAAAAACGCACCTTCAAGTCCTGTATGACATGTTCTTTGTAAAACACGAAACTAAGACTCTTACCTAGTAAGCCACCTCAAACGTGCACAGAATTGGAACTGATTACTCTCAGCTCTACAATAATAGTCAATGTCTAACCATTGTGTACTGCTTTCACTAAGGGACATTTCCTTCCTGTGTGCTTCAATTACTTTTTAAAACAAAAATTGTTATTAAATGGCAGTTCCACAATCTACTCTATCATGTACTATATTACATATTGACAAACTAGCCAAAAAGCATGCGCTACATATGCAGAGGAAAAAGACCAAATTGGGCGATTGTGGAACAATTACATCTTCAAGAAACATTTAACTGTTCAACAAAGTACTCTTTTTTTGGTTCACAGCTATCTTTACTATGTATGTTTCACTGTAAAAGCCCCACAACTATTACTAGAAATGAGCAGTCATTCAGAGTCACATTTGGTTAAGGTCTTTTTCCTATTTTTAAGTGTCGACTTTTCCAAACGTTCCTTCTGGTGGTCTGTAATGTTTTGGAAAAGCCTTCAATTGTAGAATATTAAATGCGTACTTGCGACATCCAACATTCTTCATCGTGTTTTCTCGGCGACATCCCTCGCTGGGGAAGAAACAAGTACAGAGAATGATAGAAGCAAAGAAAAAAAATGATACAAAAAAAGACTTAAGACAATGATAAGATGCGTATTTTGTTAATAAAAGAGGCAACAGAATGGTAAGCGGTGATTATGTAATATGTGCTTCACAGACTATTATTAAATTGCCAGATTTGTATGCATGAGTTTTTTTTAAAAAGAGACAAGTTTTAAGTTAAATTTGAATCTAATTATAACACACCCAGAATAATTTTTACTTAGACTCCTCTTCAGACTTAACCATTGTTGTAACTTGGCATCAAGCACTTACGATCACAATACAAGTTATAAATTGCAGTTGAAATATTATAGGCGATTATAAACACTACAAATTTGCTGATTTGTGAATGTTACTTGAAATACTGGCAGCTTAATTCAACTCAACTCAACTCAATAGGGTCAGAGCTACCAGAAAAGAGGAGCTATCTTCCAAATCAACTCCTCCATGCATTAAACGCATGTGCATTTTATGTTGAATGGGTAATTGCTCTGACGAGTGTGGATATGAACGACAGACCAGGGAGGTTGTAGGGATGATTTTCACTATGCGCCAAAATAAGCAGAAACCAGAGCATAGAAGGCGTTTATGCATCCATGAAACATAATGTTCAGAAGATTAAAGGGAAGAACATCACATTTCTTAAAACGAAAACTAAAGTGCAAATCACTGCATAGGGCATTTACTCATTTATCATACAGCATGAGGCAGTCAATAGGCTCATAAAGCTGAATCTTTGGAAAGCTATCTATTTAATCCCATTTCCCTGCACTTTCTCTGTAACACTGCACAAAATCTAAGCCAAGCTTAAAGTGTTATTGAATTATCTACTAATATAGGCTAAATGGGTGTGCTATAAGGCAGAAGCAGAATGCAGTATAACAGATCTTTCGCTTTTACGCAAGCAAATTAGTTATGTCTGCTCAGACGTGTGAACAGACTTTTTTAAATGACAAAGCATTTGTGTAAGCAAGTTATGCAAGTCACGAAGCAAGTTATCCCAAAACTGGCCAACATACATTTTAAAAGGCTATTATATTTCAAAATAATTTTAAATACAATTTTATTCTGTTAAATACAGATAAGCAGTTTTGAAGACGTTTTACCACTTATGCGGTTTCATCCAAGAAAGTGCCGTAGTTTCAGAACCCAACACAAAAAAATTACAACAGAACAGTCACACAACAACTAACAGAAAAGTTATGACTGCACTAGAACGTATAAAAAAGGCTTAAATAAAGTTGAAAATACAGCATATACACTGTCCTTTCACTTTAGATATATTTCAAGAAACTGAGGTACTGATCATGGTTCTATTACAAGAGTTTTAATGTATACAGTTGATAGAATTTTTCATACATTTTCTATTGTAAGCCTTGATAAAATATATACAAAGTACAGTGTAAAGTTCAACATTGGTAAGGCATATTTTACGGTGGACAATTCTATTGCACATCCTTCCATTCAGTGGCTTTTCAGAAACAAGTAGCTAAGCTTGTCTTGTCTTTTTTAAAATAAAAAAATTATTATAAAAATGGCTTCTCTTCATTGGCATCGAAATCTGGCCAGCAGGTAAGCCAGGCTCAGAAAGACGCATACAATCATTAAACTGGGGCTAAGAGCGAGTAAAGGGATGGAATAGAGGAGGCTGGGGTCAAGCCTGCAATCACGGATAGGCACCAGGCCACTCAAGTTCTTCTGTGTGACTACCTCCCGCGTTCCAATGCTGTGAAAAGGGAAAATGTAGGAAATGGCAGAGGGGCAAGAGGGTTGGGAAGGTGGAAGAAAGCAAAACAAACATGCAGCAAACACAGCAGAAAAAGAATAGATGAGAATATTTCAAACAGAAGGGGAGAGGGACAGGAGAGAAGGGGAGAGGGACAGGAGAGAAGGGGCAAGTTTTTTTTTCCAAATATAGAAATACAAAGTACACGATAATTGGGAAATAAAGCACCAAAACCAGCAAATGAAAAGAAGAGTGACCAAAGTAACACATTAGAAAGGGAAAGAGTGAAAAAGGAGAAAAAAAAAGAGAAAAGTTGAAAATTCAGAAAGAATGACAATGGTTTCTCATGTTCAGTCTGTATGCATCAAATACATGCTGCACCATCATGCCTGGTCATGCTTCAAACTGTACAAGCAAACTGAACGTGAATAACCATTCCTTGTATTTAGCCCTTTCTCACCTTCAAAGGGAAATTATACAAAGTTGCCACAGAAATGAAGCTGCTTTATAGTCCATCCGGAAATTTCCCTGTAGTCCCAATAACATATTTGTGCAATAAGAATGAGAAGGCAATATTCTTACATAATAGTAAGCTTGCTCATAGGGTGGTGTTAAACCTTCTTAGTGAATTTGGAAATATTCCATATTTATGATACCAATATCACAAACATAGGAAATTTGAACAGACTGGAATTTAAGTGTGAGTCTTAGCTCTATTTAATTGTTAGATTATTATGATTAGAATGTTTCTTCAAATAAAGGGCAATCATTTATTTGGAGAAATTTAGAACACCAACTAAAAACATCTCTGAAATATTTAGGTGAGACAGGATTAAATAACAGGTAAACAGAGAAAGGATAAGAAAACTACAAGAAACTTTGAGACAAGGTTTTGACACAAGGCACACAATAAAACTAACTTTGAAACATCAGTGACTGCAACCAGGGTTCAACCACAGTTAGTGTTGGGCCATTTACTGTGTTCTTATCCTTTCTTTGAAATGTACAGCAAATTTAGAACATATTGCTAATTAGTGCTGAAACGTTTTCAATATTTGAATGCTATTTAAAGGACTTCATGTTAATGACATTTGTAAAACATATAAAACAAAACTGATGAATGCTGCATAAATGACTAAAGAAACAAAAAGCTCACAGACAATTCCTTAATTTTAGTCACATTCATATAGCTTTTATAAACAAGTAACAAGCAACTTCACTGCTGTTGTGAACTGAGCGAATGGAATAAGAGCAAACTGCAGAAGAGTTTTTTTTTCCATATAAACTAAACCAGATAAGGTGGATTCAGCATTGAATAAAGCATGCAGTATCCTGGACTTGATTAATATAACAAAATACAAGAGCAAGCAGGTGATACTGAATTTGTGTTAGAACTCAGCTGGACCTGTGCGTACTGTTCTGCTTGCCATACTATGGGAAGTATAGGAAGGTGTTAGAGAAGAGATCAAGAATGGTTCCAGGAATGAGAAACTTCAACTACGAGGATAGACTGGAGGAGGAGTTAAGACTGTTCTCTTTGGAGAGATGAAGGCTGAGGAAATAGGATAAAAGGGCTCGATAAACTCGATAGGAAGTTACTGGGCTGAAAATTAAGTTTTTGAGGCTACATCAAGTTCTTGTTTTGGAGGAATTCTCACCATGAAACCAGTGAAATTTCATCTTGTTTCTTACCAAACATTCTCCATTTATTACCACTTGCCCACAAGGTGTCCCTCACATTGGATTCTACTTCCACTTAACTACCTGCCACTTCCAGAACAAGTTGCCAATGACCGGAAAGACCAGCATCTCTGGTACCTGCGTCATACTTAAAAGGCCGCTGTGCACCTGGATGAGTGCTGGTATTATGAAGCTGCATTGTTCAGTCAAAGACGGAATTTGACAGGAAGCTGGAGGTCCTGGTCAAGGGAGTGGTGCAAAGCAGACGCGTCCTCTTCCTTTTCTGCCAGCAAAGGAGGCCAGACTTGAACAGCCTGGTCCAAGGTTGCCATCTGGGGCGGTACCATCTCAAAAGCTCAGTCTGCCAGGGTCTGTGTCACACTCTGCTCTCTCTCCCGCTCTCGGTTAGTGCGCCCAACCTCCAAGATTCATGCTCTGCTAGCAGTATCACCACTGCATGCGACATCTTCCCTCACTCACTCTCACATCCCTAACCTCATACACCACTAATCCTGCACGGCTTCTGTGCAGTCCCCTACTCACCCAGGATACCTCAGCCATCTGTACCAGTACTGACAGCCATGCCACTCACATTCACTATACTCAAGCCTGTCTTTTCTTTCATTCTAGAAGATGACAGTTGACAAAAATTGTGGAATTCCTTCCCTAATGGCATTGTGGGTCTACCTACATCAAATAGAATACAGCAGTTCCAGAAGGCAGGCCACAACCATCCTATCAAGGTCAACTAAAGATGGACAATGAATACTGGCCCAACCAGCAATGCCCACATTCTGTGAATTAATTTTTAAAAACTAGGGCAGAAAGCGCCGAGATGGGTGGAGGGGAGCACAGCATATGATTCCTCAGGAGAGGATCCCTCAGAAGACTGGGATTACCACTGCGGAGCAACTGAGACATTCACATCCTGCCAACTGAGTAGGTACCATTTTTCATTCCATTGCAACTCTCACTGTAACCCCACGGTCAGTCTCATTCATTGGACACCATTTCTAACCACTGACCGGGAGGTTCTCTCTCTCATGTCTTACAGGTATCGCTAAAATACCAAAGAGCTCTGGAGAAAAGCCGGCTCCAGCAGAAGCCACCTCCCCGACTTCTGAGGCCTCAGAGGAAGCATCAGGAATGCTGCCTCCTGCATCCCCATTAACTCAGATATTGACACCTCATTAGAAGGTTAGTCTTAGAAAGTTTGGGAGCACAATCTGGCGAGCAGTTTACTCTGACAGCTCCACAGTTGGCTGAGGAAGAAGCACTCCTGGCTGCTGCGATCCGAGGACTGCTGGAGATCACTTACCCGCTCAGCCCCAGTGGCTGGTAGAAAAAGAATAAAACCTATTGAGGGCACTTTGGTAGCAATGGGGACAATAAAATAATTATGAATTCTCACGTTTATATAAATTTCACTGTTTGCCTCTGCATCTGTTTGATCAAGTCTTTGAAGCTCCAAATGCAATTGTCCCAGCATGGTGCTACCTTCACATCTACACAGGATACCCAATGGATCAACGTATGTGTTGAGAGGCTGCTTTGGCTCCTCAACAGATTTTGATCTCAGTTAGCCGATTGTGTACAACAGTTATATAGTCAGTTCTGAAGAAGAATCTTTGGACTTGAAACGTTAATGCTGTTTCTCCATCCACGGGTGTTGGCAGACCAGAGTTCTTCAGCATTGTGTGTTTTCTTTTCAGATTTCCAACATCCACAGTATTTTACACAATATTTGGCCTGGTCTGCAAGTTAGTCAGGTTAAATAACCACAGGCTTTTGGGCACAGAAACAAAGGATGCTCTCAACTGTCATTGTCAATGGCTCTTTTCCAAACATTAACATTAACTCAGTTTTAATTAGGTTAAGATTACTGTTTTCACGGCCTTAAAACACTGTTTTCTTGCTAAGATCAGCTAAAACTTAATAAACGTAGCAATTTCAAACAGACATTCTTTAGTGTTGTTTGAAGTATGTTTCTAGTGTGTGATAGGTGCAACATATTACCAATCTCAGTATACCCACATACTTTGCCAGTAGCATTATTTTTCCAAGACTGGGTACAAATGAATCAGCTCCTGGGCTGCTGTGATATTTGAGATGACTGCACCTACTCCAAGACATAGATAATTTAGCCATATCAAATGTGTTACTGCAGTTTCCTAAAATTTAAGACCTGAAGACTCCTCATTACTGTAGGAACAGGAATGTTCATTCAGCCCTTCAACGCTCTGCAAGCACTGAATTTGACTCTACAAAAGTTGCTCAATTCAACTGACTTAAACTCAATAGCTCCCTGGGCGGGGATTGAGTTCCAGACTTTTACTATCATTTGTATGAAGTGCATCCTGATAGTAGCACTTAACCACAGCATTGAGACTAAATTCATTTAAAAGCTGTATATCTTTGGCAAAAATGCAGTCTCATCATGCAGAAGTTGCGTCAAAGCTGATCTGTGGTCCTGTTGTTAGCACGCTTCAGACCTTTTAAAAATCCATCCTATGTGGCTGGAAAGGGTTGGAAAAGGAACAAGAAACGCTCACATCCCAACAAGTCCTGCAGCAGGTAGCATTTATAGGCAGGTTTATTTGTGGATGAACTGGGACTGGCAGGCAGACAGAGAATGGGTGGGACAGAGAATATGTAGAAAGCCTCTTAGAAATGCATGCACCCTGCGGGCATTATTACAATATTGGAAAAGCAATGGAGGACGACAGATAACTTTTAAAAAAATTCATTCATGGGATGTGCATCGTTGGCTAGGCCAGCACTTATTGCTCATTGTTAATTGCCCAGAGGGTAGCTAAGAGTCGACCACATTGCTGTGGGTCTGGAACTCATGCAGATCAGATGGCAGTTTCCTTCCCGCGAGGACATTAGTGAGCCAGATGGGTTTTCTGACATTGGTCATACATGGTCATTAGAATCTTAATTCCAGATCTTTAACTCAATCCAAATTCCACCAACTGCCATAGCGGGATTGGAACCTGGGTCCCAGATCATTACCGGGGCCTGTAGATTAATAGTCTAGCAATAATCACTAGGCCATTGCCTCCATTGACAGATTGGACAGATGAACTGCAAATGTACCCAAAGCTCCAAAAGTTTTGGAGTCACTCCAGCACCTTTAGCTTTAAAATCATTCCAGCACCTTTAGCTTTTGAGTCACTTCAGCACCTTTCTAATTTGTATAGTCAACTATATAAATATTTTTCAGTGATATGTTTTTGCTGCTCAAGCATTTGGATTAATTCATTATATTGTGATAAATATAGATGACATAATTTCACTCTGTCCCATTTCCCAATGCTATTCACTACATCCCAATTTACAATTCCTTGTATTACTGGAGATGTACTTTTCTGCAGTTTGCACCTTTCTGCAATCAGTTCTGCAAGCATTTTTGAATGGCTTGTTAATAAATGAAAATAATAAATGAATAAATAATAAATGAAAGCTCACCTCCTCATGCAATCCAGGGCCTGTGTGAAGACTTGAGGTGCCATTCCATGCTCATGCTGCAAGATCAGGCACTGTTCCAAAGTGATCGACATTGCTGTTCGGTCCTTGGCACTCTTACAGCTTGTAAATCGAACTCCATTTAATCTACGACAAATCTAACAACAGAAAGTGAAAAACAAAATTGTATATGAAAAGTGGCTCAATTCTTAAGAATACCTAATTTCCAAAGCTAAAGAGGAATGCAACAAGATTGCAGAAACTTACAAATAAACATATCAAAGGTTAATATTCAATTGAGGGGTCAAATAGCTAAATGTCAAAAGAGGTTCATTTACGGTATAGGAAAAGGATGCTCCAGAAGTAACTCCAAGTATTCATATTCATTGTATTATGAAGCAGCATTCCTGCGTTAAGCATCATATTGTCACTCAGGGGCCCCATGTGGCATGCTGCATTTGCTGCGGAGAAAGACAATGGGATGAGAAGGTGAAAATTCATTGGCTTCTGCTGTTTTCTCCGGTTGTCTTCTCAGACAGCTGAGCTTTCGGTTTCTGTTTATCTCTTCCAGTGGTCTTCCAAAGAGTCAGCCTTCCACAGGTCAGAAGGAATGACGAAAAAATGTTCATCCTTGCTCACCTAAGACCCAAGACAAAATATGCCATTTGCTAATCTTGGACTTGCTTTTTGACAACACTGTACTAACATTCTATATTGAGAAATGTCTGCAGAGACATTCATACCCGATTTAAACAGCAGCATCAGGAACATAGGAAGACAGGAAGATTGCCCAGGAAGTTGCTATTCTACCATTTGTCAGCATTGGCAAATGACACTGTTAGTAACCATTTTCCAGTTGTCAGAGTCAATATTAGTCATTTCTATATCTTGCTTACAGGTGTCCTTGTAGTGGAGGTATCGATGCTTAAGAAGGCATGATCCAGTAGTCAATTCACCATGTGTATGCAGCAGTCATTCATCTGTTACTAAACCAATGTTGTAATGCACTGGCGTCATGCTGATGGAAGTAGCAGCTTCAGCACTTTACAGTTTGTTACCTAGTTGTACCAAGAAATGCTGAGGCATGTCTGAGACAGCAGCATGGAAACGGCCTAGACTCTTCACCTACCTAGTACGTGTTATCCAGGTCTCACTCACCGTTAGAGAGTGCACTGAGGGATCAGGCTTGGTAACTTGCAGGTCAGTGTTCTCAAATCAGGTTGCTGAGTCCACTCTCATACTTAGCTTGGACTTAACAGCTGCAGATTTTGTGATGCATGCTTTGACTTTAAGTGATAACCAAGCTGGACATTGTGGAGTCTAGGTATATGTAGTAACATTGCCAGTGCTGACAAATGGTAGAATAGCAACTTCCTGGACAATATGTCTACCTTCCTAATGCTGCTGGTTAAATCAGGTATGAATGTCTCTGCAGACATTTCTCTATATTGAATGTTAGTACAGTATTGTCAAAAAGCAAGTCCAAGATGAGGAATTGGCATACTTTTGTCTTGGATCTTAGGTGAACAGTTGAACAATGAACAGTTTATCATTTTGATATGCAAGTGGTTCCTCTCTGCAGATGTCCTCAAGGCCTGTGACAGCAGCAAAAATATACTGAAGAATGTCAGTGCCAGAGCACAACCCTATTTGAGCCCTATGCACATCTCAAAAAGCTCCGATCTGACCTTCTCTTTCCTTGATAACATGATGGATAAGATCACAACAAGCAACTGCAGAAGACAGACAGTTTTCTCCAGGAGCTTAAACAGACCAGCGTTGAATAGCAATTGAGACTAATCATAGCAATATATAGGTTCTCCATTGTTCACAGCACTTTTCTTGCAGCTGCCAGACTTGAGAAGTTCACGTCAATTACAGATCTTCCGGTTCTGAAGCCATGGGGAACTTGGGGTAGAAACATTCAGCCAAACTCTGCAGTCTGACAAGAGCAACGTTCAGCAGTGAGATGCCTTGATTGTTGCCCTTATTCTAGTACAGGCTCACAATATTTACATCACACTTCGCTGGAGGCTGCATCTCAGAATGAGACAAAGAGGTTTGTACACATGCTGCAAAGTGCCAGTTTCTCATGCTTGAATTCAGATGGTATTGTATCAGCATCCCATGGTGCTTTGTGCACAGCGAGCAGGTCAATAGTTTTACTAAATTCCTTCACTGAGTTTGATATCAGCTCTGCCACGCCAGGGAGCCTGTGGTTCTTACAGTCTCCTCAGCAAGCTCTCTGTCTGGACTAGAATTCAAGGTAATATTCCACCATCTCTAATTGTTTATTGCAGTTGATGATGACCATCCCTACCTTGGCTTTCAACGGAGCAGTTTTGTTGCTGATTGACTTGCTATCATTTTGATCCCTTCATACGTTGCCGATAATCCATGGGCCAGAATATCGAATGTTCTTCGACAGATTCCTAACCTGTAGTCGTTGGTGAAGTCACCCTAGCAGTCAGTGAACTTTTACCACGAGCAGAATCTAGTATATTCAATGAATTCTTGCTTGGATCTCTCTTGTAATTAATGAGAGCAGACTGTTTGGCTTCAATGAGAGTTCCAAAACAGTGGTATTAACCTCAAATAAGTCAGCATTCTCAAGGACAATGGTGTTCAGAGAATCATGTCTGGTGATAATCAGGTCCATCTTGTCCTAATCCCTTGATCTTGGGAGTGTCCAGGACATGTTGAAGGATAATTTGTTCTGAAAGGTGCTAGTTACACAAAGTTCATGCACAGCTCAAATGGTCTCTGCCAAAACGTCTGCAAGAAAAGTTGAATTGGTTTTAAAATATTAATTCTGTTCATGCTCCATAGATTCTGCCAGAACTGATATGTTTTGCCAGAAATTTCAGTTTCCATTTCTAAAAGTCTCTGCCTCTTCTCATTTACTTCGCCCAAGATCTTTAGGGCAGGAAGTCCATGACCGTTTTTGCACCGAAATCCACTAGGAGGTAAAGATGTTCTGACGCCAGATTCTGCTGAAAGCAGGGTCAAACTTCTGAGAGGATTGGTCTTGAATCACTCTAGTGAATGGAGCACAGCTTTGGAGGATAGGTATGCGAGGTTAAATGGCCCTGCGTAAGATATGAGGCAGTTAAATAGACCTGGGTTTGAATTCTGCCGTGGCAGATGGTGGAATTTGAATTCAAGTAAATAAATATCTGGAACTAAGAATCCAATGATGGTCATGAGATCTTTGTTGATTGTCAGAAAAATCCATCTGATTCACTAATGTCCTTTAAGTAAGGAAACTGCCATCCTTACCTAGTCTGAACTGCATGTAACTCCAACAATATGGTTGACTTTTAACTGTTCTTTGGGATGGTCACCAAATGCTGGCCTAGCCAGCAATGCCCTCACCCCATGAATAAAATGAAAATTAATAGAGAACACATTCTGAACCACCTGTGGGGATCCTATCATCAACAGTAGCTTTGATAGAAGCTTTCAGAATCATAAACAGTCTGAAAACAGCTAATAGGGAGAACGATTTTTACTCATAAATGGATGGAGAACCCATAGAATACAGTCTTAAAAAGTGTTTTGTGAAACAATCAAGTACAAGGCGAGAAAATTTTTTTTCAAACTGAGTTGTTACGATATAGAATGCACTGTTTGGAACTGCAGTGGAGGCAGGTTCAACTGAGACATTCAGGAGGGCAATGGATGATTATTTAAATAGAAACAACATGCAGGATTACAGGGAGATAAATTAAAATGCTCAACCAGTGCAGACACGATAGGCCAAATGGCCTCCTTCTGTACCCTTCTGTGATTCTCTGATTAAGCTTTTGCACAAAGCTGCTCTGAATTCTTCTCCTGCTAGATGAATGCATAAAATATTTCTTGAAATGATGAAGTCTTCGCAAGTTTGGTCTCTTATTAGAAAGCTATCTTGATGTCCACTCATCAAGTTTCATGTTGATGACGGACAACTATCGATCAGTTGCAAATCTCTGTCAGTCTGTGTGTGTAGCTTTGGTGGTTCAGCTGGCCAATTACACAGTAGACACCTAATTTATTTTTCTTGTTTCATTTATTTACCTGACCTGATGGATTCTGTCCATTTATTCATCACTTAAGCTCTTTGCGCTTATTATAGCGGATGACCAGGTCAGGTCAGCATCTTACTATTTGGGGACTGCCTGACTGGAGGTGGATAATGGCTGATAGTGCCTTATGTAGGACACCATGGTCCCTCATACTGTTGGACGCAGCCTGTATTGCAGTAAAACCAGAGTAGCATCTCCAAGATTTAGGGGCAAAAATTATGGAGACTCTGGGCTACCCAAATATCAAGGTCAACCAAAAGGAACACAAAGAACTATGTTCGGTCGTGGGAGTTGTTTGAAAGATGACATATTTAGTCCACCTTTGGGCTCCACTCCGAATTTCTGGTCAGGGCTTTATTTCCCTTAGCCTTCAACTACTCCGAGATACGAACATGGCAATGGAACTATTTGCCCTAGGTTGAGACTTTGGTTTATATGCGCCAGGCAGTGTCCACCTGGCAGTAGACTAGCACACTGCCTGAAGCCCAAACCTCCTACAGGTTCCTCCGAAGGCTTAGCATGGGTCCAAAGGACCAAGTTTTTGTGTGCCACAATTGGAAAGCACAGCATGTTGCAGGAGAGGCTGTGGACTGACAGGAATTGCACTATGGAAAAAAAAATATGAAAAGGAAAGAAGAACTTAAGAGGGGAAAGCATGCTAACTCAATTCAACTACACAGTATATGCATCTGTTCAACCTTTCAGACACAAAGTACAGTGATTTACGTAGATAAATACAGTTGTCATTGCGTGTAGAGGAAATTTCTCATAAATCGAAATGAGCAATTGGTTGGATTAATTGGGGCAGAAACATTCATTAGGATAGCAAGAGATTGCATTCACTTTGTGATTAGTGTTAGTTGATCTTTAATGCCTGCATAACCTTGTGCAGTAGGCAAGAGACCCTTCATGGAGCAGTCAGGGAAAAGAGAAATGTGAGAGGGCAAAGAAAAGAGAAACAGGGAAGAGAAAAAGAAAAATAGCAGGGGCAAACACTTGCTTTAAGTCACCAGGTAGAATGCACGTGGGAACTTGTTTTCTGGTTGAAGAGATCAGAGCTGTAGGGACTTAAGGGCACTCCGATACAAGTCATGGTATGGCTGGAAGTCAGTGCCAGAGAGGGACTTGCCACTAGAACTTTATTTTGGGATTCTCAAAAGTCCGAGGGAAATAACTTACAATACACACTGGATATTATGATACAGCAAAATAGGGAGAAATAAGCACGTTGGAAGCTGGAAAACTTGGAACTGGTTCCTGAAAAGACTAGGATTCTGAGAACAGTAGGATATGATGAAAACTCAGTGCTTTCACAATCATATTAGAAAGCGAAGTAGGATACATTTTCTGTAATTTTCTTAATCAGCAACTAATATGCCAAATTGATTTTAGTTTAGTGTAGAAAGTCTTAATACATCAAATCCTGTCTTTGATCCTTTGAGTTAGTTGCTGGGAACCCAAATCTCTTTTTAAAGTTTATCAGTGCATACTGGAGTCATAACAATGCACAATTTTCAAAGTAAAAATAGTCAAAACTGCTATTTAATTTCCTTCTGCTTAGCAAAAATGGATTTCAGCACTGAACAAAGCCACCAAAATCTACATTAAATATTATCTTCATTGACCTCTTTAGCTATTTTAGAGAGCTATAACAATCAATAAAGGGAACACTGGAATGGAAATATGTTAACACAGAAAAATAACAGCAGGTCATTCAGTCCTTTGAGCTTGCTCTACCATTCAATATAAGCATGGCTGATCATCCAACTCAGTACCCTATACCCACATTCTGTTCATACCCTTTGAACCTTTTAGCCCCAAAAACTACATCTAATATGTACTAGACTAATCCCAAATCAGCAACCCCCATGAAAAAAGAAACTGCTCAATTACACGTCAAGCCTTTCAAGAACTTGTAACCATTAAATACGTAGTGTTTTCTTTTAATGTGCTAGAAAAAAAATATTTTCCTTGTTTCCAATTCATTTAACAGGTTTTTCACTTATGGTCCAATCAAAAATTTCCATAAAAATAAATGGGCTTTAGTTGTAGGCATTGTTCAAGGTAAATGTACAAAGGTAATGTACATATGTATATCTAGGAAAACCAATTAGACAGCAGCATTATAAAGATTACTTTCAAACATGACTCATTACAGAATCTCAAATTTTAAATCATTTCACAGCTTTCCCCAAAGCTTGAGAAAGGATGTATTGGCACTGGAGGGGGTGCAAAGGAGGTTCACTAGGTTGATTCCGGAGTTGAGGGGGTTGGCTTATGAGGAGAGACTGAGTAGATTGGGATTATATTCATTGGAATTCAGAAGATTGAGGGGGGATCTTATAGAAACATATAAAATTATGAAGGGAATAGATAAGATAGAAATAGGGAGGATGTTTCCACTAGCAGGTGAAGTTAGGACAAGAGGGCATAGCCTCAAGATTAGAGGGAGCAGATTTAGGACTGAACTGAGAAGGAATTTCTTCACCCAGAGGGTTGTTAATCTATGGAATTCCTTGCCCAGTGAAGTAGTTGATGCTACTTCAGTAAACGCTTTTAAAAAAAAGGTAGTTTTTTTTGAACAATAAAGGAATTAAGGGATACGGTGAGAAAGCGGTTAAGTGGATCTGAGTCCACGAAAGGATCAGCCACGATCTTATTGAATGGCGGAGCAGGCTCGAAGGGCCAGACGGCCTACTCCTGCTCCTAGTTCTTGTGTTCTTGCAATAAGTTACCTAGCCAGTAGGTTGTTCAATATGGATACAGTCACATACACATACAATCAAGCAACTAATTGGCCTCAACAACAATGAAGTGTGATGAGATAATAAATCCATAACTAATGGAAATCCAGGTGCAATGCAGGTTTATATCTAAAATTTTTAGCATTACAACTTCTTTCAGATGTTGATCAATTATTCAACTTTTCTATTGTAACCAATCCATTGAACTGTAACAATTCTTGTATTTAATTTGCAAATAAAACTGTTTACCTCAGCGGCTTGCCAAAGGATGTCTACATTCTTATTTTTTCTTGCATGAACATTTTGGCCAAGAAATCTCAATAGTTCAGGCAGACATGTCTGACTCCGGGATCGAGGTAAACCTACAAAAGTTACATTTTTACAGATATAACAAAATAAAAGCAGGGAAGCACTGAAAGCATCATTTGTGGAATGTGTTTTACACCACCCACAGGTCGCTCATACTGTATATCTACATTCATCAAACTAGCTAGCACTAGACATGCTTCTGACCTCAGCAATGAGTAGCACAAACAATGCATACTTCAATTTACATCAGTCTTTTCCTGATTATGATACTTCTGTTTGTAGCATACCTAACAAATAAGCTTTAGTTCCAGCTTGTTAAAAACGTACTAGCTACCTTGAATTAGGAACCTTTAGACAAAGTATGAGCCATGGAACTACTGTGGTGCATGGTATTTTCAAAAGTGGAAATCAGCATTAGAATAAACCTACAAGTTTTCAGTAATGCAAGTTTTATAAATCCACAGGATGCATATCAAACACAATGAAGTAAAGTCATAGGACAAGGTCTTATTGAATGCGATGAGATATAAACTTAAATCAATTGCAATTTTTTAAACCAATGTACAGTTTCTTGAAATTCACTTAAATATAGTGAGCACTCCACTATCTGGCCATACAAGAAGCTGTTCCTCCATTCATAGGCTGGTTCTTCCCTGCTGCAAGACCTGACTGGAGTGGGTGGTGATGGTGAAAGTGGTGGGGGAGATGTGCAGAAGAATGGGTAATTTGCAAAAAGTGGGGAGCAAGAAATGGGAGCCGAGAGATCATAGTGGCTGCAAAGTCAGGGTGGTGGAGAGAGACCACTGGCTGCGCTGGGGAAAGAGGGGTGCAGTGTTATGAGGCTACAAAAAGTGGAGAGGAAGTGAGGCTGCCAAGTGTAGCCTGTCAGCTAACTATAGGACAGGAAACCTTGAAGTCGCAGATGATTCTCAAAGGCTGCTGGATCTTGAAATAAGCCTGGGTCAGTTCATGTATGTGTGAATGTGAAAGCAACAGACTTTCTGTCTCAAGCCTCTACAGATTAACTGCAGAATTGTAACAAGGCAAATTCATGCAGTTTATTTAATTTCAAACACAGGACTCGATATTGCATAAACTTTATTTGTTGCAATCTGCAAGCTTCTTTAGAGAGTTGAGGCAGAAAAATAAGAGTTTTTAAAATTCATAAACAAATGTACACATTGAACCAAGCTTTCAGCTTTGACAATTAGAGCAAGTTATTTTCAAAAGGTAATATCAGTAAATAATTCCTAACCATGGTGTAGCTCAATATGCTTCCTTCTCTTAATCAGAGCAAATGATAATACAGTAAAAAGCATTATAGTTCATATCTACACATACTTACAATCGTCAGGCAAAACCTCCTTAAACTGTTCATAGTAGGAATTCAGGCGGCCCAAGCTCTCTGCATTAATTACTTCTTGTAAGGATGTGTCTCCAAACCTAACCCAGATAAGTACAGATGTAAATACCAAAAAATGTGAACAAAATGGGATTTAAAAAAAAACTCATTATTTCAGTGCAAGGATTTCAGTTTTTTGCACTAAGCCATCTAATAAATACAAATTATGGAGCAGATTCATTTTAAAGCAAATCTCTAACGCAACGCTCTGCTAGTGCTTGCAAAATATGTATTACTCAAGGAAAGATCTTAATCACATTTCCAGTTAGTATACTTGCTACTTCTCCTTAGTAATAAGGCAGAACTGAGAACTCAGGAGCAACAGGTGGATCACCAACTTCCCCCAAATTGTGTTTGAAAGTTTTCATTAAAATTATACCTGGAGCTGCAGCTTTTTCTTTAGCTTAAGAATAACATTGTCAGAATTATGAAAGACATGAGACCTGGGTGAGAAGCAGACCATTTAGCCTACCGAGTCTGCTCCTCTAAACGATGAGATCATGGCTCATCTGACAATCCTCAACTCTAGCTTCCTGCCTTTTCCCCATAACCCTCGATTCTTTGGATTAAAAATCTGTCTATCTCAGCCTTGAATATATTCAATGGCTCAGCCTCCACAGCTCTCTGCAGTAAAGATTTCCACAAATTCACTCCCCTCAGAAGAAATTCCTTCTTATCTACCTTAAAAGGGCGATCCCTTATTCTGAGATTGTGCTGTCTGGTCCTAGCTTCTCCACAAGGGGAAATAACCTCACTGCATCTCCCCCAATAATCTTGCATATCTCAATAATGCTTTTCATTTCTTTTAATCTTAAAAGCGTGCAGGCCTAATTTACTCAACCACTCCTTATAAAATGGTCCATCCGTACACAACATCAGCCTAGTGAGGATTCTCTAGACTGTCTCTAATGCCGATATATCTTTCCTTAAATAAGCAGACCAAAAACGCTCATAGTATCCCAAGTATGGTCTGACCAATGCCTTGTATGACTGTCCCAAATCTGATTATTGCAGCTTTCTGCAGTCTTTCTCCATTTAATTATCATTCAGCTCTTCTATTCTTCCTGTTAAAGTGCATAACCTTATCTTCCTACTTTACATTCCATCTGCCAAACTTTTGCCTAATTGGTTAAACTGTCTATATCCCTCTTGACTCCGTCACCTTCCCACCTACTTTCTGTTGTCGGCAAACTTCGCTATAGGACATCCATTTGATTTGATTTATTGGTGTCACATGTACCGAGATACAGTGAAAAGTGTTGTTTTGCAGGCAGATTGTATGGGACAAAGGGCATCAGGTAGCAGAACAGAGTGCAAAATACACTATTACAGCACTGAGAAGGTGCAGGGAGAGTGATTTGCGCCATCCAAGTTATTAAAATGTACTGTAAATAATTATGGCTCCACCACTGATCCCAATAAGAATCATCAGTCACAATAGTTTTCCAGTACTATTCAACAACATATCTACCTTATACAGAAAATAACGAAGAGCAGAATTTTGTGAGCAATTTTGAAGTCCTCATGCATAAATCGCTAAAAGCAAGCGTAGAAGTTCAGCAGGTAATAAGGAGGGCAAATGGAATAATTTGTCTTTATTTCAAAGAAAATTGAATATAAATTTTAGGAAATCATACTAAATCTATACAAGGCACAGGTCAGACCACACTTAGGATACTGTGAACCCTTTGTATGCACGCAATATCCATGTGGCTAACTCTGCCTTTACCCATTACAGAATAAGTCTGGAACTGTGTGTGCTATAGGGATTACAGATACAGCATCTAAGCAACTATGGTACACAGAGGTGATTCACCATCTTGTAAGGCTTAAAAATGATAGAGAAAGCATTGGAAATGTTCAGGAGGTCTATCAACATCTGAAAACCCCATGGCAGACTAATGCTTTTATCCTTTGCTGGAACCTAGTTGATTAAAAGTGTACGTACAGAAGTACTGAGAGTATTGATGTCACAAACATATTGAGTATTTTAAATTTCCAGTACTCAAATGGCTTTTGCCCTATATTACCTTTAATCTTAAGAGCTGATCACTGTTTTGTAAAGTAGTTTAGCTTGTTTGATAGCGGTACTTACTTTTCTGCGAGTGTTTGCTGCTCATTGATACCCACATTAAAAAGCACTGGCTGCACTCGAAGTAACATTCCACTCTGTATTTCCCGAGGTAAAGCATCAAACATAGCACCTGGTAGTGGTATTCGCACATTAAATCCATCTCTGTAAAAAGCAATATAGCTTAGGGATTTTGCAAGCAAAATAAATCTTTTGAAACTAAATATCTTTGACATTCCTTCAGCCCATAAACAGTATAAAAGTAATTGTACAAAATAGATAAATACTTAAATAAATTACAAAATGTCAGTGCTAAAATAATTAATAGAGGAATGTGATATGAGCATTAAACTTAACAACAACAGTTTGTGCACATTTTTAATCAACATACTTCAGCAAATATTATAGCTAGGAAACAGTGCTTTTTCAAATTTTTTCATGGAATGTGGGGGTCACTAGCTGTGTTAGCATTTATGGTCCATCTCTCATTGTCCAGAGAGCAATTAAAAGTCACTCACATTGCCTTGGATCTGGACTAACAAGTAAGCCAGGCCAGGCCAGGCAAGGATGGCAGATTACCTTCTCAAAAGGATATTAATGGTTGGATTTTTGTGACAATCAACATTGACAACAATGTAACCATTGGGCTAGCTTTTTATTTCAGATTTTTAATTGGAATACATATTTCACAATCTGTTACAGTGGGATTCAAAGCCACGTGCTCAGAATATTACCCTGGGGCTCTAGATTAATAATCCACTGATATTACTATTAGAGCACCATCTCCTCCTAAATGTGCACAAGCACTTTGGGAGTAGTGACCATCATATTTTAAGTTTTAAAGGCAAGAGCATCAAATGCAGAGATTTCTGCTTCCTGTATGAAGTTTATTTCCTAGTCAACAATTTCACTATCCCCTCCTTGGCCACTGTCTAACAGCTCCCCCAGCCCCCAAACATTCTATGGCATTACCATCGCTGAAAACTCACTATCAACATCCTGGGGGCATTATCATTGACCAGAAATTCAACTGAATTCACCACATAAACACAGTGGCTACAAGAGCAGGTCAGGGGCTAGGAATACTGTGGCGAGTAACTTACCTCCTAACTCCCCAAAGTCTGTCCACCATCTACAAAGCACAAGTCAGGTGTGTGATGGAATACTCCCCATTTGCCTGAATGGATGCCATTCCAACACCACTCAAATAGCCTGACACCATCCAGTCAAAGTAGCCCACTTGATTTGCACCACATTCACAAGCGCCCAGTCCCTCCACTACTGATGCTTTGTGGCATTAGTATATACTACCTACAAGATGTGCTGCAGAAATTCACTAAAAGATCCTTAAACAGTACCTTCCAAACCTACTACCACTTCCCTCTAGGAGGATAAGGGCAGCAAATACATGGAAAAACACCAGCACCTGCAATTTCCCCTCCAAGCCACTCACCATCCTGACTTGGAAATACATGACTGTGCCTTCCCTGTCGCTGGGTCAAAATCCTGGAAAGCCCTCCTTAAACGCAATGTAGGTCAACCTATATTACATGGACAGCAGCATTTCAAGAAGGCAGTTCATCACCACCACCTTCTCAAGGGTAATTTGGGATGGGCAATAAATGCTGGCTAGCCAGCAATGCTCACATCCAAGAGTGAATAATACAATATCACCAAAATTCACCACCACATACACTTCAGTTACAATCCCCACCTGCCAATACAACTGTAAAGGTACCTCAAGGTGGTGATTAGTGGACATATTGCTTTAATTACATGTTTTTCATTGGTGCCAGTATAACTTGCTACACCTAACCAACACCATCTCCCATTGCTTTTCAACTTGCATTGATGTTGTTGAGCAGTACTTGTACCAGTTCGCAGCAGTTCTGCACCAACGGGCATCTTAAAGACCTGAACCACTCCACTAAGACAGCCAGCAAGTGACTGAATGAAGGCAAAAAAAAAAAAGCAGCAATATGAAAGTGCTGATCATTAAAACAGCCCACGTAACTGCTTAACGGTGGTCTGAATCCAGCAGCAATAGACAAGGCAAGTCACCTGCAGTGAGCAGTTACAATAACTATTTTGGCAACTGATCATACTACTGAGAGAAAACTCAATTTCCAATAACTCTAGAGCAAAACAAGATCTATTTACCAATGCCACTGCACATTTTTCAAGGAAATGTTAACTCTAATGACTAGCATGAAAGTTACTTTTCTTGCAAATTGATGAGGCATACAAGGTCATACATAGGTGTTTTAATTTTTCACTTACCACTGGTAAATATATCTATCACAAGCTATTCCAGAAAGGAATCCAGCATTACTTACCGGTTTCCAGTAATGACTGGCAGCATATCAATTGATGAAGTAGACATAGCTTGGATTACTTTAAAAGTCACGTTTCGTAAATCCATAATTCCTGTACTCATATCTTCAAGCATAGCAAGTTCCTCCCCTACATAAAGTACATTATTAATGTTGTGGTGGGGAGTTGAGATCACTTTTTGTTAATTCTTCTTACCTACCATGGAAAGCATATCCAAGGGGCAAAGATTTTTACACAACACTATTCACTAGACACTTCTAGCTTTCTTAAATATTAAAAGGAAAATTTACTTGATTATAGTAGAAATCTTGAGAGAACACCTTTTAGTGCAAAGTTAGTTCTTAACTTGTTTCTAGGAAAAGATGAATTCCATGAGAATAGAGCCAGTGCCCATTATGGGGCCACAGAGAGCACACCAAGCTATTGGCAAGGTAGTATACAGTGAGACAATACACTGAATAGTGCCAAGCAACTTAGTATTTACTTTTAAGCAATATTTTCTGAAATGGTTTCAGAGCTGTTTTTCACTTGTGTTCACTCTTTTTAAGTACCTATGTAGTGAATAAGAACTAATACAAGAACTAAAGCTCAGGGAAAATATAACTAAGAGTTGCAACAAAAGTTGGATTATATAAGATGCTGAAAGATGACAGATCACTGGTTTTATGCAGTGATAAAATGTGTCTCATGGGCCAAAGTTCTCATGATTAAAAGGTAGACAATTTTCACCCAGTTATTGGATTCTCATGCCTTATATACTGTAAAGGAATGAAGGCAATACCACGACAGAAAAAAAAATGAAGACTTTTCCCCATAACCCAAGTCCTAAATACCTTAGGATATCTAAAATTTTCAAAAATAGCAGGTAGCAGCCTTACAACAAAAATCTAGAAATGCAAATAAAATGAATGTCTTACCATATGTACTTAAAAGACCTTCAAATTGTGCCAACAAGCCAATGGTGTAAAGTTGGCGCAAAAATCCATCATCACGAAGGCAGTTTCTTAGTTTAATAATAAAACCACAGATCAGGGCTGTCAGCTACATTGAAGACAAAAACATAAAAATACAATATTCAATTGAAAATATGACAAGTAGTTATCAGGAAGCATGTAGGATCTTATTTCTTTCCTTTTCGCAGTGCAGTTCATTTGAAATGCTCTTAAGCAAAAAAGTCAATACCACCAACCAAATTATCCTGCAATAAGTAGAAAGGTTTTTGTTTCAATCATTTCAATCAACAAGACAAAAACATCCCACCTGAACTGCATAAAGAAAGCAACAGGTTTTATTTTGTAATGAATCCTAGCAGAGGTCTAATGGTGAAAAATGCTGCTGGATGCGAATTCCCCGATCAGGACATATTTTAATGCATCGAGATATCTCTTGCACTGTCAAAAATATTGTATGATGTGGAGCTGCCAGTGTTGGACTGGGGCGGACAAGGTCAGAAATCCCACAACACCAGGTTATAGTCCAACAGGTTTATTTGAAAACACAATATTGTAGTATCAGAAACCGTAAGTCAGTCGAGGTTTTTCTTGAAAATAGATAGATTTTATGACACCAGGGTCAAACTTCGTTACCCTTAGGGTACTAATTGTCTGCAATAAGATGTTTTGGTCCATGTTGCAACAAGTTGGTGAGTTGGCAAGCTGAGACCATCGCACAGTCAATTTTTGCAGCATTTAGCATTATGGTTATACACAGCATTGCTGGAGGCCGGTTGGATTTAATTAAACAATGTTCATAATAGAGGAGGACAGACTTCAGAAAAGAGGAAAGGGCAAAGAAAAAAGATGACATTGGTCACAAAAAAGAAAAAAAGCTGCATCTGCATACAAACTTACAGTCTGACAGAAGACTACGTCTCGGCGGTACTGGATAGTTAAGTCCATTGCGATAGTTGGAGCATTATCCTGCATTAGTAGAAAGACCATAGCTTTCTTTGCTTTGTCACTCATCATGGCTACACAGTCAGTGAGTGTGGTCAACAGAGGATAAAGTGCTTCACTCCATTCACCTGTTAAACAATAAAAGACCAATTATATTCAATACCTGGGTCTGAGGAAACTGAGCTTTCACAAACTGAATTAGTGGCCACCAATTTTGACTCCCTACTATTAGAATATGGAATTTTGCAAAATTTAGTGCAAGAAAGTAACAATCACGCATGTCTAAAAGTTCTGCATCACTGACAGGTGATTTAATTTCTCTCATCTACCAACCCATCACAGATCCTGCAAAAATGCTATCCCCTATTCCCAATTCCTTCGCCTCTGCCGCATCTGCTCCCAGGATGAGGCATTCCACTCCCGTACATCTCAGTTGTCCTCGTTTTTCAAGGACCGTAACTTCCCCTCCTCGGTGGTCGAGAACGCCCTCAACCGTGTCTCCCACATCTCCCGCACCTCATCCCTCACACCCCGTCCACGCAATAAGAACCAAAAAAGAATCCCCCTCGTCCTCACGTACCACCCCACCAACCTCCGGATCCAACGCATCATCCTCCGACACTTCCGCCATCTGCAATCCGACCCCACCACCAAAGACATCTTTCCCTCCCCACCCTTATCTGCTTTCCGGAGGGACAACTCTCTCCGTGACTCCCTTGTCCGCTCCACACTCCCCTCCAGCTCCACCACACCCGGCACTTTTCCCTGCAACCGCAGGAAGTGCTACACCTGCCCCCATACCTCCTCCCTCACCCCCATCCCAGGCCCCAAGAAGACTTTCCACATCAAGCAGATGTTCACCTGCACATCTGCCAATATGGTATACTGCATCCGCTACACCTGTTGTGGCCTCCTCTACAACGGGGAAACCAAGCGTAGGCTCGGGGACCGCTTTGCAGAACACCTACGCTCGGTTCGCAATAAACAACTGCACCTCCCAGTCGCGAACCACTTCAACTCCCCCTCCCATTCCTCAGACGACATGTCCATCCTGGGCCTCCTGCAGTGCCACAACAATGCCACCCGAAGGTTGCAGGAGCAGCAACTCATATTCCGCTTGGGA